GCGTGATGGCGGCACTTCCCACCCCATCACATCACACCCACACCTGGATTCCCCCAGCTCTCTCTGAGGAGGGTGCTATTATCCCCATTTTATAGACAAAGCAAGGGAGGCACAGACCAGTCAGGTGACCGTTCCAAGTCACCCAGCCATCAGCGATGCGCTCAGGATTCAAACCCAGCCTGTGTGGCCCCAAACTCCGTGCTTCAAACCTCTCCTTCTACTGCCTTCCTGGAGCCCCTGGACAATACCCATGTGTTCCCAATGGGCTTTCTCTCACTACAGAAAAGACACTGAGATCCGATTAACACCCTGTAAGATGGTATTCCAGAATGAGATGTTTTTTTTAAAGAGTTTATTTATTTATTCATGAGTGGCAGAGAGAGGCAGAGACACAGGCAGAGGGAGAAGTAGGCTTCTTGTGGGGAGCCTGATGTGGGACTCGATCCCAGGACCCCAGGATCATGCCCTGAGCCAAAGGCAGATGCTCAACCATGGAGCCACCCAGGTGCCCCTAGATATTTGGTTTCTGAAAGAAGCAGGCTTCCTGGCACAGAGGAGGGACCTGGCCAAACAAGAATCGTTGGTTCTACTCTGGGGCTCACACCTTCATCAGCTCAGCTCGTTGGTGGGTTTCAAACACCTGTCCCAAAGCCCCCAGTCTCCAAGGGACCTCCCGGTGTGAGGCCCTAGAGCAGAACTTTCTGCACCTTATTTCATCCACAAAATGATGGTATAGAGGAGGCCCTGTAGGCTTCCCACTGATCAATGAGCAAACAGACACTGAATGGTCCCACAGGGCAGACCCAACTCAGGGTCTGCAGTTCCTGGGCCTGTCCTTGCGTTACCAACCACAAGAACACACACCTTGAGGCTGTCCGGTGCCTTCCCGGTGGGCCCCGGGGCAGAGGGTGGCCATGGGCTTGCCGGCATCTGGTTCTTCTTCCCTGTTTCCAGCTTCCCTGCAGGTAGGTTCTGCTCGGTGGAATGTGGTGGAAGGGGTGTGTGCCACTGGGGCTCGGGCCAGCATGAGCCTTTTACTTTCCCTCCTGCCCCTCACTCCACAGGCCCTGCAGATTTTGAGGAATATCCAAAGGCCTAAGACAGGGGTCAGGAAACTATATCTGTCCCCCACCTTGTTTGTGTAAATAAAGTTTTATCGAAACAGCCTGGCCCACTCCTTGTCTGCAGCACTTTGAGGCTATACCGGCAGAGTCAAGCAGCGGCAACGGAGACTATATGGCCCACAAGGTGGAAATCTTTACCTTCTGGCTCTTTGTAGAGGATTTGCTGGCCCTGCCTAAGTGGTGGGGCCTCAAGATGGAAGCAGCTGATCTCCTGCATCAGTGGATTATACCAGCAAGAGAGGAGCCTCTCCTGAGTAAGCCACTGAAACCGTGGGGCTGTTTGTCACCGCATTTGGTCTACCCTGCTCCCTGTATCCTATAGAAGCTTCTAAAGATGTCCTCAGGCAAGATATCCACACCAAACCCTGGCCATCGGCCCTGGTAGGGGTAAGGAGCTCGTGTCTGCAGCCACGCTGGCGGGCTCTGGTGATCTGCCACTCTGGGAACAAGAATCTGCATCAGCAAATCCGATGGGGGGAAACACAGGCCAGCTCGGTCACCCAGAGCAGCGCTGACATCTACATGGAAAGTAGAAGGCTCTACTTCTATTCCACACGCTCTCTTCTCAACCAGTATCAACACCAGGCAATAAAATATCACTTCTCGATGACCCCAGAATAGTTGTTCAGTCCTAGACATGTACCTTACTGCCACCTGCCTCTGCCCCTGGCTCATTTCTACCTTCCGGGACCACCTGCCACATAGCGGGTGGCAGCAAGCACAGGTGCCCCCTCCTTCCCAGAGCATGATGCCTTCCCCTCCCCTTTCCAAGTGCCCCCTGTGTGCCAGCCTCTGAGCTGGCCCCAGGGACTAGGAGGGCGGGGCCCACTCACACTCCCGCTAGATTCCTGTCCCCAGCCATCCCTGCAGCGTGGGGAGTCACTGTATTTAGACCGAAGAACCTGCAGGCAGAAGTAATGTGGGGAAGCCCAGCTCATGTGCTAAGAGGGGAGGCTGCCTTCCCCTGAAGTCAGGATGGGGGACAGCCATCAGGGACCTGTCACCTCCATCTGCTGAGAGGAAAGAGCTCTGCTGAAGAAAGCCCAAGGGTGTGGCAGTCTTTGTCACAGCATTTTGTGGTATACCGCATGTTTTTACCTGCCATCAAACCGCTGTGCCATGGAGTGGGGTGTCTCCCCCCACCCCCTGGGCTCTCACTAACCTTTCTCTAGCTCTTATTCACTTTCCCATTCAAAGCTCGTTTGTCAAGAATCTTCTACATGGGAGACCCCACCCAAGGAGACAGGGAGGAGCAGACAAGGGGCCACCTCCCAGAGCTGGGAGCAGACAGGCCTGCAGAGAGACAGCCGCCACCTAAGGACTGCCAAGAGAAAGGAACGCTGCTCGGCCCCCTTCCCCATTCAGGCACTGCGACCCCATAGGCGACGCGTTTGTGGCTGACTCATTTGCCAGATGGGGATACTGAGGCTTGGGGAGGTGGTTGGCCCCTTGGCATCCAGGTGGGCAAGGTGGTGAAGTGGTGTGTCTTGGTCTTCGTGGTCATGCAGGGTCCGCATGGCTGAGTGGTGAAGACCATGCAGAGGGAGCGGAGGGGCAGTGTGGCGTATGGGGTGCTGGGGGCCCAGGAAAGGTTCCCAGAGCTCCAAGCAGCAGGAAGGCAGTGGGGAGTGATCGCATGGGCATCCTGGAGGAGGAGGCAGGGTGACTTGTGCCCAGCTAGATGACATCACCTGGCAATTTAAATATGCCATTGCTGGCGAAACTACAGCCATAGGGATTAGGCCAAGAGGACATTAACAGGCTCGCCATTTCAAAAGCAGCCTTCATCATTGTCCTTCAACATAAATACAGCTGAGTCAAAGGAACGGAGCGAGTTCCGTGTAATGAGGACTGTCTTGGGAGGACAGGATGGGACAGGCAGATTTATGGAAGGTGGGGACAAATATTCCTTACTTGGCAGAACACAGCAGAGTTAATGTCACTTTGAATAACTTGTTTACCCAGTGATTATGTGATGAATGAATATCAGAAGGCTCACTGCATACGGCTGTGGCGGGGCCGGGTGTTGTGGTCGCCACTGCAGTACGAAGAGTAAATCAATTGAAATTATCTCCCAGGGACAACCACCATGCAACAAATGGGCTAATTAATAGGCTTGGGTGTTTTAAAAAAAATCCTCTTGTCCCTGGAAAAAATAGCCAAGAGAAATCAACATTTCAAAGTTGGCCTGAGAAGTTTCTTTTAGAGAAACTGTACCTAACAGTAAACACCCAGCTGTTTGCTCAGATCAAAACCCTCAGTGCTTACCTAGCTCTGGAGACCCTCCTGGCAGGTGCAAACTCCCTCCCCTAATCCTCTGCCCGCTGGCCCTGCACAAGCAAATTCCTGAGCACAGGCTCCCTGTGTGGTAGCCCCTCCTCTTGACTCCCCCTTCCTTTCCCCCCTTCCTCCCCATTCCCTCCCCCTAACCCTTCTGCTGCCATAACAAAGTACTACACAGTAGGTGCCGTTAAAACAGACATTTATTCTCTCCCAGCTCTGAAGGCCAGAAGTTTGAAGTCAGGATGCTGGCAGGGCTGATTACCCCCCTACCCCCAGGCTCTCAGGAGGAAAGCATTCCATGCCTCCCTCCCAGCGTCTGGTAGTGGCTGCCATCCTTGGCATTCCTTGGCCTGTGGCAGCATCACTGTCCTGTGTTCACATGGGCCCCTCCCTGTATACATCTGTCTCTTCTTACAAGGGCCCCAGGCACTGGATTAGGGCCCACCCAATTCCCCTATGACCTCATTTTAACTTGATTACGTGTGCAAAGACTGCTTCCAGGTAAAGTCACTTTGAGAGACTCTGGGGGGACATGAATTGGGTGTGAATGTTTAGCCCCATATACCGTCAAGCCCGGTGAGAGGGACCCTGGGCCCCACCCACTCACAAAAATCCAAAGGACCTGACTGGCAGGGCCTAGGGCAGCTGTCTGCCTCCTCTCCCAAATGGGACCATGATGCCTGAGCCCTCTGGCACGTTCAACACAGGGCTGATGAGCCCCGTGGAGCTCGCTGTGCAGGCCGGCACAGCTGAGGCCTCTGGCCAGCCCACGTGGAACCCAAGAGCAGGAGCCACCCTCCACTACCACTCCTTCCAGGTCTGAGCTCTGGGAAAGGAAGGGACACCAAAGCCCCATCACACCCGAGAGGGGGATGCCCCCACGCTGCTGCCACAGCCCAGCCCCAGGAGACAACACGGCCACCCCCTGAGCACACACAGGCAGGCAGGCAGGCCCAAGCCATGGCTGGTGGCACGATAAAGTAATTCTGTGTTTTAAAAAAATCACAGTCCCTAAATGGTGTCACTTAGGCTGAGTTCCCAAATCAGGGTTTAATACATAATCTAACTGCAGTTTCAACCTCCCCAAAAAGGTAGTCCTAACCGGTCAGTCAGGGAGTTTTCAGTCAGAGCCAATGAGTCTGCTACCTGGCTACCCACAGCCCCCCAAAGAAAGATACGGTACCTCCATGAAAAGACACTTTGCTTTTCCCCCAGAAAGCTTCAAACCTAGGTTTTTTTGTTTTGTTTTGTTTTGTTTGCCAATAACTCTTACCCCCACCCTCCTAGAAAAACTTCCCATCTTGTTCCACTCTGAACACCTCTCTGCTGGAGTGGAGCCGCCCAACCCACGAATCCTTAAACAAAATGTCTGCAGGCAACCCCCTCCTCCCAAAAGAGCCAACGACGCCTAGAAGCACCAAAAACCATTCTTTATTTGAGTCCACATGTGCAGCAGCCCCACCACCACCATACAGGCCCCTCCCTGCAACTCCCACTTTGCCCTGTGCCATCTCCCACCCCCAAGAGCCTCCCCGCCTCTCCCCCAAAATGGCCCTCCTCCCGCAGGATCCAGCTCAGCTCAGGAGGTGGGCTTCAGTCTCTGAATTTGCCCACCAGTGGTTTCGAGGACCAAGCCCCCAGGCCCTGCTGGTCCAGGAGGAGAGACAGCTGCCTGCGGGCGTCCTGGTAGGGTCCAGCCTAGGACAGGACAGGAGGAGGGTGGAGAGCATGAGAGCTTGCTGGTCTGGTGGGGCTCAGGATGAAGCAGGCCTGGTGGGGGGGCGGGGGGGGGGGCAAGGTGCTGACCTTGGCTGCCTCATAGGTCTTCAAGGCTAGGAGGCGGGACTTCCCCAGAACTCGGGCAACCTGGCGGAAGGCCCTGAGAAAGGCTGCCTTGCAGAGGCGGGAGGGGGGCCCGAGGCCAGCACTGAAGATGGAAACAGAAGGCCTAAATACTGAGCTAACAGGCCCACACCCTGCCACTCACGCCACCTTTCTCACCACAGCAATCCTGTGGGGGGGGGGGGGGGTTGAGAAGTGTTACAGGGTGGGTGATGGAAGCACCAGCCATGGTCACAGAGCTAGGATTAGAACTGGATGTACCCACCTGCCCCATGGGCAGGGAGCCAGGGACCCCTCACCACCAGCCCTCCCATGAGCCTTTCTTACTTGGCCTTCACACGCCCTGTGGCCACATCCACGACCTCGACATCGGTGTCCCCCAGACTCCAGTTAAGGCTCAGGCTATGGCAGGTGTTGGGGATAGGATCCAAGGGGGCCACAGGGGGCCCCGCAAACAGGTGCAGCGTGGTACGGGCATAGGGGGGCGGCAGGCACGGCCCCAGGACCCTGTCTAGGCTGGGCCGGGTGTGGATGGCCCTGCTCAGAGTTGGGGGGTCATGGCAGGGGTCGGCTGTGGGGACAGAGGCACCAGACAAGGTCTAAGTCACCGCCACCCTCTCCCACACACCACCCAGACCCCCCTTCCACCCTCACCTCAGCCCTCAGGGCCCTCACCCAGGACAAGGCTGGTGGCATAGAGGGGAGGCAGAAAGTGGGCAAGCAGCCCGCCACCCAGTCCCAGCACAGCCCAGCGGGCCAGCTTGTCACTGGTGGAGAGGCAGCCCACGTGGGTGTCACGAAGCGAAGGCACCACATAGCACACGGGCTTCAGCTCCCCACGGACATGGGCCTGAAGGCGGGAGGGCGGGCTATGTAGGAGGCTGCCCTCAGTGGATGGAGGGAGGCTGCAGAGGCAGGCAGGGGAGCAAAGGCAGAGGACACAAACATTAGCACTACCCATCTGCCCCCCCCCCGCATACCACCCTTCCCGATCCAGCCAGACTGAGGGACCCACCAGGGCTCCCCACGTACTAGATATCATGGGCGGCTCCCGTGGGGGTATTGCTGACGTAGAGATGCAGGAAGATCCGGGGCTTGAGGGCAAAGGAGGGCCCAGGCCCAGGCTGGGGGGCCAGTACTGACCGTTCCTTGCCCTTGGCGCCACCCTGTGTCACCAACAGGAGCTGGCGGAACAAGAACCTGGGGGAGGCAGGTGGAGGAGAGTCGGGCCATAGGGTCCCATTCCCTGAGCCCTGCCAGGGCTGCAGCTGAGTGCCTGCCCCGCCCGCCCCTCACCTGAGCAGGGCCCTGCGGGCCACCACCAGCCCATGGCAGTCGTGGAGCTGCCGCCCGGAGAACTCTAGCCAGCCTGCACAACTGCTGCTGCCCGTGCCCAGAGCCACCAGCTCATAGATCTCCTTGGCGTGGCCCTTGGCACCTGGGACCTCTGTAAGGGAAGGGGGCAGAGATGTGCCCACAAGGCACAGGGACCCACGGAATGTGTGTGTGTGTGGGGGGGGGGAGGGTGGTTCCTGAATTAAGGGCTGGGCAAGCCCTACCTCTCTCCAGGATGACCGCTGCCACAGTCCCTTTACAGGCCCGGTATGGTGAGGTCTTGTCCACCAGACGGTCAAAGCCGGCACTGACCACAGCCGCACAGCGCTGCTCATGGGTTAGGATGTTCTCTGCAGATTGGGGAGAGGGTGGAGGAGGGGACCCCACAGACAGTACCCCTCCTCACCGCAGGGCTGGGTGTAACGAGGGTGCACCTACCTACACTCAGAGGGGCAAGTGGAGGCTTGCTGGGGGTCTCTAAGGGCTCTGGAAGGGAGATGGGGTGGGTTGCCATGGATACCAGGGCCTGTCCTCCTGTCCTTTGTCCTTCTGGAAGCCAAGAAGTTCCATTAGTGGGAGTGTGGGGGATCATCTTCCAGAAACCCCAAATTCCTGGGCTGCACCTCTAGTGGTCCCTGCACACCCAGGGTGGGCATGCTTCAAAGGAATTAGGGCAGAGGTCAGCTCACATATCCCCTCCCCAGCTCCCTGAGGGCGAAGCCCTGATGTCCAGATGGGCTCTGCGACAAGCCAGCCCCATGTGCGCATCCAGCTGGGTCACTGGTCCCCCTTACCTGGGCTCCCCAGCTGACTTCGGACGTAGTGGAGGGTAGAGACCGCTGCCACTGCCTGCTGTCTGGCCTCTGGCTTGCTGCTGGCATTGCCCGTGGGGCAGAGCAGCCCATCCAGCTCAGCACACATGGAGAAGGGGAAGCAGGGGTCTGTAGGAGGAGAGGCCCTGAAGAAGCCTCGTCATGGGCCCACCAGAGCCACAGCCCCTCTCAGCCCACCTCCCCCTGACCCCACCCCTACTTTGACCCCAAAACTATTGGCTATAGGGCAATTTTGCTATAAAAGAAAATCAGGAAAAATAAAAAGAGGGGCATTCATTAGAAAGGACATAATAACACATGAAAAACGAATAACAAAATTAAAAAGACCACCACAAAATATAAAATGTTGGAATGCATTCAAAATGTGTAGTATGGATTTGTGTCAATACCGCACAAAGAATGGGTTTCATTTTGTGGACAGGACCCAAGGTCTTGTCTTCAAAGCCTCTCGTTCAACATAGTCTTACATGTTATTTCCTTGATTTGTCTACTTGCTTGGCAACACACTTTTTCTTTTCTCCCTAGAATTTCTTTTTTTTTGTTTGTTTTTGTTTTATTTATTTATGATAGGCACACAGTGAGAGAGAGAGAGGCAGAGACACAGGCAGAGGGAGAAGCAGGCTCCATACACCGGGAGCCCAACGTGGGATTCGATCCCGGGTCTCCAGGATCGCGCCCTGGGCCAAAGGCAGGCGTTAAACCGCTGCGCCACCCAGGGATCCCTCTCCCTAGAATTTCTTTCTTCATTAAGAGAGGAATCAGTTTCCTAATACGGGGCTGTGTATTTGTAATGGAGCTCCAGATGGTGTGTGGAAGCGTCCACACTGTTGTTCGCTTGGGTGTATTGTCACCCGTATGCGGACAGTCCAGAGTTCTCCGGGTAACAGGGATTCAAACTCTGTATGGTGGGATCCCTGGGTGGCACAGTGGTTTGGCGCCTGCCTTTGGCCCAGGGCGTGATTCTGGAGACCCCGGATCGAGTCCCACGTCGGGCTCCCGGTGCATGGAGCCTGCTTCTCCCTCTGCCTGTGTCTCTGCCTCTTTCTCTCTCTGTGTGTGACTATCATAAAATAAATAAAAATTTTAAAAAAAATTTAAAAAAATTGTCAAATTAAAAAAAAAAAAAACTCTGTATGGATTGCTGTGAGGACCAAGATTTGTAGAATATTAAAATGGGAGTTCTGGGTCAGTAAGGAAATGAAACCAATCCATCAACCAATTTGATGAAACCAAACTGAAAACTAGTTTTTTATCTTTCACAGCAAAATTGCCTTATGGCCAATTAGTTATGAGATGAAAATGCTCATGGCAAAGATGTCAAGAGGAAAGACGCTTATGGCCACAGTCCCTAGAACACCAAGCAGCAAGGAAGACCAGACTGACAGGAAGATGAGGCTGCAAACTCCTGCCCACCCCAGGCACAGGGGGCCGGGCTTGTCGCCCAAAGAATCCTGACAAGCTGCTCCCTGATAGCCTGTATGACCCCATGTGATAGCGGGCACAGACCAAGGGCAGGGAGTGTGGCCAGGGGTGCCGGGACCCATGTCCAGGGCTGCCCACTGTACCCCTCAGCCTGCCCCCAGGCACACTGCTCTGTTTCTTCTCTAGTTTGAAAGGTTCATCTACTAAATGCTATCATTTCAGGTGTGACTATGAGACCAGAGGCAGAAGAAGCCCCTGGAGCTGAGTTCACCTGGTGAAAGGGCATAAGTCTATCTCGGTTTCATGGTTCTCGCTGGTACTCGCTGCTCAATTATTTCCCAAAAGGAGTGCCCTTTGAGAAGGGAGGCTGCATCTCAGTACTCCTCGCTAGCGCTGAGATTTACTCCCTTTCAAAGGGCATCAAGAATGCCAACTAGCAGATGCAGGAAGAACACCGGCATCAGAGAGGTCCCTGGTGCCAGATTCGCCACAGAGAGGACAGTGAAGACCCTGGGGGTGCCCTCCACCCCGAGTGAGCCCCTCCCGGCTAACACCGCCAGTGGTAGTAGGACAGACGCCAGTGGTAGTAGGACAGACGGATCACGGGCCTCCTGGGAGACATGCAGCCAAGGACACAAGGTTACCACGTGCACTCCCACCCTTGATTGTAACCTGAACCTAGTCCGGAATAAACAAACCCAGGTGGAGGGACTTTCTAGGAAAAAAAAAAAAATAAATAAAAAAACAGCCCTTACTCTCCAAAAACATCAATGTCCTGCACACAAAGGTGGGCTGAGCAACTGTTTCATATGACAGGAGATTAAAGAGATGCACAGCTACAGAACAGCTCATACCCGGCGGGAGAATGGCTATTATTGGGACAACTGGCAAAACCCAGATGCGAATGGTATTTAGCTAAAGCATGACATCAGTGTTAACTTTCCAGGATTTGAGCATTTACTGTGGTTGTATAAAATAACATCCCTGTTCTTAGGAAATACACTGTGGCGTGTAAGGGATAAATCAACTTCGTTTATTTTTTTTATTATTATTATTTTTATTTATTTATGATAGTCACAGAGAGAGAGAGAGAGAGGCGCAGAGACACAGGCAGAGGGAGAAGCAGGCTCCATGCCCCGGGAGCCCGACGTGGGATTCGATCCCGGGTCTCCAGGATCGCACCCTGGGCCAAAGGCAGGCGCCAAACCGCTGCGCCACCCAGGGATCCCTCAACTTCGTTTAGAAAAAGAAATGTATTTATATATTAATAAACAGGAGAGAGAAAGACATATACACAAAGCAGAGGCAACAAATGCTAACTGGATCTGGGTGAAGAGCTTATAGGAGTTCTTTACTACTACTCTTTAAACTGTTATCAAATAGGGACGCCTGGGTGGCTCTGTGGTTGAGCAGGCTCAGGGCACAATATCCCAGGGTCCTGGGATCGAGTCCCACATTGGGCTCCCTGCATGGAGCCTGCTTCTCCCTCTGCCTGTGTCTCTGTGCCTCTCTCTGTGTCTCTCATGAATAAATAAAATATTTTTTAAAAATGTTATCGAATACAAACTTAACTAAAACCCCACATAACAGCAGGCAGGGGTGTCCTAAGCAGAGGGAGGGACAGAATGGCCCAGTGGCTCACACTGTGCAATGCGGCTGCCGCCTCTCTGGCCTCAGTCTTCCTATCTGTAAAGTGGTGGGGATGATGCCTCCCTAGGAAACAGTTGTGAAAACTCAGTGAAGTAATGTGCCTGAAGCCCTTCAAACAGTTGCCTGGCCCATTGTCCACAACTCAAGAATGTTAGCTATTATCATCTGTACTGAGTCCGTCTTCCTATCTTCTGCACCCTTGGGGCTCCTATGTTTGGGGGCTTTGATCCTGGAAAGGCTGCCTCTCCCAGGGCGAGCTAGCTCCTAGAGTTAGCCAACAATGTCCCTGCGGACGCGTCTGCTATAGAAGCCAACCAATCCAGAGCTCATACTCCGACCATCAACCCTAAGTCACCCCAGGGCCAGGTACTGGGCAACTGGGGACACCCTCATAACCCCAAAACCTACTTAGTGCCTTGCCTTACACAATCCTAAGCTCACCCAGCACACTGACCCTACCTCAACCATTCCTTCCTGAGAAAACCCCAACAAAGGCTCTGTGGGTTTCTCTCCCGGCTCTTCTGCCTCCTGAGGAACCCTGGTCCTATCCCCTGTGGGCCCTGCCTGGCGAGCTGTGCCTCACACTCCTAGGGATCCGCAGTTCATTCTCCCGTCATGACAATCATCTCCAGGCCTTACTATCCCTGATGAAAGCAAGTCCCAAGCACATTTTTAATACGGTCCCTTTTTTGAGCTGTTCATGTAGGATTCTCGTGGGCAGTTGCACAAATGCTCCCAACGGCTGGACAGAGTCTCTTACCCTCTCCTTAGAAACTGGGAATGCTTCTGCCTTGAGGTTGGGAACTGAATTCAGGACCCGAGGTGGTCCTGGGTGAGGGAGTCAGAGTTCGGGGGCTTACACGGGGGAGAGGAGCGGACCGAGTCCCGAGCGCCTCTCCTTGCAGCGTCGTGGTCACCGAGCTGCGCTTCCTCCGGCCAGGGGCGGCCCCGGCTGGGGAGCTCCGGTGTTGGCAGGGCAGCCCTAAGTCCATGTCACTGGCCCCCAACAGTACACCCGGGCCGAGGGGCCGGCAGCTGACCGCTCCAGGCTTCACGTGGCCGAGAGCTCGTCCTTACCGGGGGGCCGGGGCCCCCGCACCCTGGGGCTCGCAGCGGGTGGCCTGGCTCGCACTCAGGCCCGGGGCACGCGCCCTCCGACCCCAGGTCCCGGGTGGGCGGGGGGGGGGGGCTCACCTGCCGTCGGGTCCTCCCGGAACATGAGCGACAAGCCCAGACTGGCGGCGTACTGCGCGAGCATGGCCACGGCCTGGCCCCGCGGCGGGTCCCGGAGCTGCAGGCCCAGCTGCCCGGCCGCCGCCGGGACGTCCCCCGCAGGCCCTGCGGGCGGGACAGAGACCCTCGGCGACCTCCCCAGCCGCGCCCCCGGGTCCTCCCGAGCCCCGGCTGCCCCCAGCTCCCCGGCCCCGGCCCCGGCCCCTGCCGCGGGCTCACCGTCCCCCGCCGCCGCCGAGGCCTGGGGCTGCCCGCCCCGCTTGTCGTTCTCCGCGCCGGGGGCCACCGCAGGCTCCCAGGGGTCCTGGCCCGGGCTGCCCGACGGCCGCCACGGGCTGGGCCTGGGGTTGATTTGCAACGACGCCGCCAGACGGGACCTCCTGCGCCCACTGTCCTCGGCGCCGGGGCCGGGGCCGGGGCCGGGGCCGGGGGCGGCGGCAGACGCCATGGCCGGAGGCGCGGACCGCGGAGGACGGCGCGCTGGATCTCACGCCGCCTGTGCGCTTTTACACGCGTCGGGCGTGCGCCACCCGAGGACCACGTGGCCCGGCCTCGAGGGCACGGCAAGCCCCGCCCCCGCCTCAGTGCCGGCCAATGGGAGCCCGCAGAGCTACGTCGGTCGCTATGCCCAGCCAATTGGAAGGCCAGTCTCGGAGTTGCCTCGGCCTGGATGCGGAGCACGGGTTGAGCGGTCTCCTGGCTAATCGCGCGTTCCCGGGTGGGCTTTCAGGCTAGGGAGCGGGGAGGCGAGGAATGTGGGTGCTCCTGCGACACTGTGTTCTCCAGCCTGAGGTGGTCCTGCAAGGGGAAACCTGGGAAGGGGTCTAGGGGTGCAGGTCTAGAGCCTCCCCCTTGCTCCCGCCCCTGGATGCCCTGAACGGCACCCATCACACGAGACCACCCCCAACCGCTAAGCTTGGGGGTGGGTGTCAGTGTCTTTCTTTAGCTGATAAATGTAGATGTTCTCAATTGAGGCAGCCCCACAGCATCGTTAGGATCTACATTTAAAAACTGTGTACTGGGACGCCCCGGTGGCTCAGCGGTTGAGCGTCTGCCTTCGGCTCAGGGCGCGATCCTGGGCCCCAGATGGAGTCCTACATGGGGCACCCTGCCCCGAGCCTGCTTCTCCTTCTGCCTGTGTCTCTCATGAATGAATGAATGATGAATGAATGATCTTTTATTTAAAAAAAATTAAAAATACAAACTGTGTACTGCAGGCCTTCCTGAAGCTTCTAGCAAAAATTAACCATTTGGCACCACCCCCGCCCCTGTCCCGGTTGTTTTCAGAAGGGATTTTAAGCTGTCTTATAAAAATACCACAAGACAGGGACACCTGGTTGGCTCAGTTGGTGAAGCATTTGCCTTCAGCTCAGGTCATGATCCTGGGGTGCTGGGATGGAGCCCCATGTTGGGCTCCCTGCCTAGCGGGAAGTCTGCTTCTCCCTCTCCCTTTGCCCTTCCCCCCGCTCATTCTCTCTCTTTCTCTCTCTTTCTCTCTCTCTCTCTCTCTCTCTCTCTCTCCCTCCCTCCCTCCCTCAAATAAATAAATCTTTTTAAAAATTACCATAAGACAGCAGTTCTTTAAGATGAGGGACTAGGAATGAAGGAAAAATATCAAAAGCAAGATTAAGTCAGGTGCAATACACAATTGTTTTAAGAGGCCACACCTTTAACTGAGTCCTACAGGAGTCAAGGAACAGGAAGATATGATCAGTTTCTTAGTACACAGTCTGTAAGATTTGTCACTATGGTTGCTGCTGCTGGTGATAGTCACCTTTGGGTCTGATGATGCTAACCAGGTAGTGTGGATGCTGGGGCACATGGGGAGCAATCAGTGGAACCAGCAATCTGGTTTGACCTGGGAAGAGCAGGGCAAGGTAGATTCACCCTCTCAAATGTTTTAAGGGATGATATCAGGAAGTAGAATTCTGGTTTTGGGGTATAGTTCAGAGAGTGGAAGTAGGCATAGTGGATAGAAGGGTCATCACAGCAGACGCTCAGAAATGAAATGATGGCTACAGACAACCACAAAGACATGAATAGGGTTCCAGGCTCAGAAATATCCCCCATAAGGAATTGCATGGACAAATGGGGAACTATTCAACAATGAACTATAACCCAGTAATAGAAACTACTGTCACATGCACGAAATGAGTGAGTCTCCTAGGCATGTCTAGTGAAAGGAGCCAGACTAAAGTGATCACCTTCAACATGATTGTATTGATATAAATTTGTTGGATTGGCAAAATTAATCTATAGTGATAAAAGTCAAGGTCGTGATTACTTCTTGAAGGGGATATTGACTGGGAAGTAGCACCGGGGAATTCTCTTGAGTGCCAGAAACGTTCTTTATCTTGATCTGGGTGCTGGTTACAGGGGTATTGCACATGTAAAGACTTGCTGAGCTGCACTGGTGCCTTTTTTTAAAGATTTTATTTATTTATTCATGACAGAGAGAGAGAGAGAGAGAGAGAGAGAGAGGCACAGACACAGGCAGAGGGAGAAGCAGACTCCATGGAGGGATCCTGGGTCTTCAGGGCCACACCCTGGGCCAAAGGGGGCGCTAAACCACGGAGCCACTCGGGCTGCCCTTTTTTTTTTTTTTTTTAGGGAGATAGTGTTAGGGTAATCAATCACCAGGGTCCTTAAATAGGGAATAGGGAGACAGGCAGAATCGGAAAGTTGGCATCACCAATGCTGGCTATAAAGATGGAAGGGGGCCATGAGCCAAGGAACACAGGCAGCTTCCAGAAGACAGAAAAGGCAAGAACCCCGATTCTCCCCTAGAGCCTCCAGAAAGGAATGCAGCTCTGCTAAAACCCTGGTTTTTGCTCAGTGAGACCCATTTCAGACTTCTGATCTCTAAACCTGTACAGTGTTCTGTTGTCTTTTTTTAAGATTTATTTATTTATTTTAGAGGGAGGGGTGGGCAGAGGGAGAGGGAGAGAATCTCAAGCCGGCTCCCCACTGTGTGGAGCCTAACATAGTGCTCCATCCCAGGACCTTGAGACCATGACCTGAGCTGAAACCAAGACTCTGATATCCAACTGACTGAGCCACCCAAACACCCCCAATATTATGTTATCTTAAGCCACTAACTTTGTGGCAATCTGTTACGGCAGTAATGGGAAACTCATATAATGGTCTTCAAAATTTTTTTGCATATATATATACCCTTAAAACAATTTTGAAAAACTATACATCTTTGATTTTTTGATTGCGAGTTTAAATATTTACGAAAGCAGCAATTTCTTATTATATATTATAATCATCTTTCCAGTGTTTCCACCAAAATCATGGAGATGCAACCTTCACCTATTCCACTTATGAAATACACCTCCAAATAATCTTATTGGCAAAGCCTACCCTCCTAATCAAACCTATCAGCTAAAACAGAATTACTACCTGTCTGAAACAGTCTGACTTTATTTTTTTTTTCAGTTTTAGTAAACGTGTTGACATTTTCTCAGAAGGACATCTCACTTCATGTCCCCTTCCATTGATTCAAGTACTCACCAAGCATCTACTCCCAGGTGTTTTGGGTGCAGGAGTGACCAACCAGGAAGAATTCCTGCCCTCATAAAGTGCCATCTGCATTGTTTTTTTTTAAGATTTTATTTATTATGAGATATACAAAGAGAGATAGAGACACATGCAGAGGGAGAAGCAGGCTCCATACAGGGAGCCTGATTTGGGACGCAGTCCCGGGTCTCCAGGATCACGCCCTGGGCTGAAGGCGGTCCTAAACTGCTGAGCCACCCGGGATGCCCATGCATTCTGTTTCTAAGACAGCTGAGAAGTCGTGCAGCCTAACCTAGAGGTTGAAAGTTCAAAGTGATAAAGCATCACATTTTCTTTTAAAAAAAAATGCTGCTTTAATGCTGTACACCATAGGTACAGAAAATTGCACAGATCATTTGATGAATTTTCACACCCTGAACGCATCCATGTAACTAGCACTGACATGAACATAGTATGGTCAGCTCCCAAAAGTCTTCCTTTTGTGTCCTTCCATCACTATTTCTTACTGAACGCACTTTTCTTAGTCTAATGGGAACTCTCTTCTGTGGGAACTCTGCTTTTTGTTCAGCACCGAACTCTGGCAATACTCCACAGTGTGGAAGAAAGAAAATGTGGAAGGACAAGTGTCTTATCTCAAGCACCTCCCAGATAAAAACTGTATAGATGGAAGCTGAGAATTTGGAAATGGATTTTTAAAAAACAATTGTCTCAAAGCATGGTGCCTGGACCAGCAAGTAGCATCAGTATCACCTGGGAACTCATTGGAAATGCCAAATTCTTTTTTTTAATAAATTAATTTTTATTGGTGTTCAATTTGCCAACATACAGAATAACACCCAGTGCTCATCCCGTCAAGTGTCCCCCTCAGTGCCCGTCACCCATTCACCCCCAGCCCCCGCCCTCCTCCCCCTCCACCACCCCTAGTTCGTTTCCCAGAGTTAGGAGTCTTTATGTTCTGTGTCCCTTTCTGATATTTCCCACACATTTCTTCTCCCTTCCCTTATATTCCCTTTCACTATTATTCATATTCCCCAAATGAATGAGAACATACACTGTCTTTCTCCGATTGACTTATTTCACTCAGCATAACACCCTCCAGTTCCATCCACGTTGAAGCAAATGGTGGGTATTTGTCGTTTCTAATGGCTGAGTAATATTCCATTGTATACATAAACCACATCTTCTTTATCCATTCATCTTTCGATGGACACCGAGGCTCCTTCCACTGTTTGGCTACTGTGGACATTGCTGCTATAAACATCGGGGTGCAGGTGTCCCGGCGTTTCATTGCATCTGAATCTCTGGGGTAAATCCCCAACAGTGCAATTGCTGGGTCGTAGGGCAGGTCTATTTTTAACTCTTTGAGGACCCTCCACACAGTTTTCCAGAGTGGCTGCACCAGTTCACATTCCCACCAACAGTGTAAGAGTGTTCCCTTTTCTCCGGGAAATGCCAGATTCTTGAGTCACATCCCAGACCTCCTGAACTGGAAACTCTGGGAGTGGGGCCCAGCAAACTGGTGTAACAAGCCCTCCAGATTCTGTTGTATGCTCAACTTTGAGAGGTATTGGGTTAAGACAATGGTAAGATTTATGATTGCACAGTGGTTCTTAAAGTGTGCCCCCCAGGAAGCGCAATCAGTATCACCTGGGAATTTAGGTCAAATTATCAGGTCCCAACCCACCCAAAAACTATGTTACACCCTCTTCAGGTGATGCGATGCAAGCTAGAATTTGAGAAGCAATATCTAGAGCTATACTTGCTTGACCACTGGGAGGGCCTCATGCACTCTACGGATGCTGGTAGCCCTAGTTGTAAAGACTGGTTCATAGGGTATGAGGACAATTAACTGGATTTCTACTCACTAATACAGTGTCTGGCTCATATTGGTGCTCAGTGCGTGTTTGTGGAATAAATTCAGTAAAT